GTTGGTCTGTGTATGTATGCGCGCCCCAGAGAGAGAGAGAGAGAGAGAGAGAGAGAGAGAGAGAGAGAGAGAGAGAGAGAGAGAGGTGGAGAGCTGGAGGGACAGACACAGAGAGAGACACAGAAGTGTAATCAAAATCCGCTTTGTTTCCATGCAGCCGTGCTGCACAATAAAGGGCGCGACTCGCAGTCCTCATCCTCTGCTGAACAGTGCCATCGGTGGGGGTAGCCCAATATCATCTGCGTATTTAGATGGAATATATAGTCTAAAGTCCGTAACGAGTGGACGGGGAGTAGCATGTGGCTGAAACCGTGTGCTCGCTTCCTCGGGGGGATTTACCTCGAACTTACCTAAAAATGGTAAAAATGAGAGAACCTCGGGTCCAGACGCCGTCAGCCAGCCAGCCGTTAAGAGATCATCCAGAAAGTGAGTTCCCCCATTTGCGGTTACGAACCTGCCGCAAGAGCAAGATCAGCTGTGAAGCTCTCATAGCGCCTGATGGGTAGGCAGGATTTTGCCTGTAGTGCATGCGTGTACTGTGGGCTGGCCTACCTCGTGTCTCGCAGGCGTCAAGCCGAACGAATCTGAGAAAAACGGACGTAGTTTCTGTACGATCCTTAAGGGGCCGCTCCCAAACCACTTCACCCATTTTCCCCCATCCCTTTCCCTTTGTGGTGCAGCGTGGTTTATTTTCTGACTAACCCCCTCCTCAAAGGCGTTGGTGCGACTGCAAGGGAATAAGTGGATTGGGTATAGTTAAAGTGGTTCTCTCTCCTCCCTCTCACTCTCTGCTCTCCCCCGCCTCTCTCTCTCTCTCTCTCTCTCTCTCTCTCTCTCTCTCTCTCTCTCCCTCTCTCCTCCCCCTCTCTCTTCACCCCCCTCTCCCTTCCCACAGCCAGGTGCAAAAGCACTTCACTAAACTTCATAGCGTAATAGAGAAGTCCGTGCAGCAGCATTTCGAATTGTTCTGCAGACTGCCACGAGTTCTAAACCCTCGCGTCATATCGCACGCTACGACATAGAATATAGTAGTTTTGTTGCAATAATAACCAATCAAATATTGACACTGAATGTAAGTCTGAAAATAGTGTTCCCGTAATTTCTTCCTCTGGTTCTCTTTTTCGCCTCTTTGAGGCTCGTAGCGAGCGGATGCTGCCGCCTCTGCCGCCACCTTGCTCCTCTCCTCGGTCTTTTAATTAATGCAGGTCGTGTCGCGGGAAAATGCAACGCTCACCTCACGCCGCCCGGCCGGGAGCGTTCTCCTCCTGGATACCACCCCTCTCCAGAAGTGTGCACGCGCCGTTCGGCGCCGCTCACTTCAACTTTACTCTTCTCTTCTTTTTTTCCTCTTTCGTGTATTTGCTTCCCATTCTCCCCGATGCCAAATGGAATATAACACTCACAAAGACACACTGGACATCATCCATGGGACACATATGGGAGATGACTCCCCGTCCCGCACCCACCTCCTCACCTCCTTTGTGTCTTATTATGGATGATAGTAACACTATTTATTTTGTACGTTTCAGAACAAGCTGGTGACGGTGGACGGAGTCAAGGTGAAGCTGCAGATCTGGGACACGGCCGGGCAGGAGCGGTTCCGCAGCGTCACCCACGCGTACTACAGGGACGCGCACGGTACCGACTTTTTTTTTTTTTCATATACAATTATTCCGTCGTGCAATACTTGTTTTTCCTCCCTTTCCTTGCGTTTTCAACCGTGGCTTCGTTTCGCCCTCCTCAGCCCTGCTCCTCCTGTATGACGTGACCAACAAGGCGAGCTTCGACAACATCCGGGCGTGGCTGGGGGAGATCCGGGAGTACGCGCAGGACGACGTGGTCATCATGTTGCTGGGTGAGTCGCATGGGGACAGGTGTAGGGAGGGGGGGCGTTTGCTTTCACGGGCAAGTTACTGAGCCGGAGGGGGCAACTTCAGCGCCGAGGCGGCTGAGACTCGCCACATCTCGACCCTCCCTATCGCAATGCGAGCCGTGGACCCCTCCCCCCCCCATCCCCCCCTTCCCTCTCTCTCATTTTTTTTCTCTCTCCCTCTCTCTTCCCCATATCGGCCGCTTTGCTGGGCCTGGGGCAGCCTCATCCCCATCTCGACCAAACTCTTGATGGAGAGCGCTCGCTATAACAACTTGCCGAGGGTAGAAATCACGCAACCAGCAGAGCGGAACATTTTTTTCCTTCCACTCATGCACGTGGCGCACTTGCTCTGTAAACACTGCAAACAGGAGTAAAACCCGTTACTGTACCTCCCAGTCTTGCTCCCCCTCCCCCAAATAAGAAAAGGCTCAGTGCCTTTGAACTCGTTTGCAGTCTCAACGGACGAGGACGAGTTTATACTTTAGCACAAAATCAATTTTGTTTCATGAATGTCTCCCTTCCCCTTCCTTTTCGTTTTTACGCCAGTTACAAGCGTAGTTTCTTTTTGTGTGTCTTTTTCTTCTTTTTTTTGGGGGGGGGGGAGTCGCTTCCTTTGCTTGCGTTGTCAAAGCTCTTTCTGGTGTGTGCGTGCACTCGAAACACTTCGTCGCAAACTTTGTAGGTGTGTGAATCCATATTCTTACACTGAAGTAAAAGTGTGAATTTTCCTTTGAAATTCACACATTTGTGCCTTCACGTGCAAATGTACGAATGGCGTTCACACACCTGCGAGTGTGCGACATTCACACGCTTGGGTGTTCAGTCTACTTCTAATTGTATTTCGTGGGTTTCCAAAGTTTTCTTAACATTCCGCTCACATCTTTATCCTATAATTTTTGCTCCCAACAGAAAAATATCAAAAACTTTGCTTGCTTCGCGCTTGCTTCTTACCTCTTACTTCCAAGCTCAGATACTGTCTGTACAACGAACAAGTGAACTCGCATCGTATCCTTAAATCACTCAATATACTGGAAGTGTTAAATAAATCGACATTTAATCGCAGACGGTAGAGCCCCAGATACTAATTTGCCCCGATTTGCCCCTCCCAAAGCCGTGAGCTGTATGCCCACGACAACACATCGTAAACACTTCAAATTTGACTTCATTCTTAGTTGCTCCTTACGTACCCCCCCCCCCACCACCACAAAGCAAATTGGCGTGCAACATTAAACAC